ACAACAACAACAACAACAACAACAACAACAACAACAACAACAACAACAACAACAACAACAACAACAACAACACCTTTTCCATAACTGCAAGACAGGATTTTGGCCAATGTGTTTAAATTTCCCACACTTGGGCATTGGTTCTTCTGGATTAAAAAGATAATATTAATTTCACTCCTCTATTGCCAACTTTTTTTATTAGAATCTCCATGATGAATGTGCCTTTCATACTTTGAACCATCTTAGCATTTGTTAGAACTAATCAATGTTACATGATATCGTCTTTGTTTCATTATAGAAGACCTACCCAGATATTTTCCATTTTGCTCCAAAGGGCTTGAAACCTGTTACGAGGAAAACAGCAGCAAACCCCCAGGTTCTCAAGGTTCTGTGGGGGCTCCCAGCGCCTGGGTCAGAGGTCATGCAGGAAGCATTCCTGTAAGAACGATCACTCATTTTACTCTGTGTGGTTTTATATCATGTACCTACCATGAGCATTGAAACAAAACCTTCAGCTGAGCATTTCACTTCAATAACGTAAACCCCACACTACTTCACAGCAAGATTTATTAATACATCCAAAAAGAAAGAAAAAAAATCATTTTCTCACACTATATACAGATAATACATACAGTGTTTTTATACACATATTACATCCTTTTTTACACAAGAATATACATAAAAATGTAAACTTCTGTATACAAAAACCCTTAAACCAATTAAACAAGGACCAGATAACCAAAGGAGACCAATCTTGTAATTTCATTGATTCTTTTTTTTTAATGATAGTACAGTACATTCATTGAGAAATGTGAAGAACATGTGAGTCTTCCAATTTAAAGGGAAAATACAAACACCAGCCTGACAACCTACCTCTGGAATGCTGCCTTGTTGAAACCTTCCAGCAGGAAATATGTTTAAAGTGAATTTCATGCTGGAATGTTCAGGGATTAGTTGTTCTTGATTGTCCCTACCCACTCTAGTCTTGAGATCAGAATTGTGTTTCGTTTTTTTGGTACATGCTAGCACTGAATTTGTATGTTCCCTTTAAGTGCTTCTTTAAGCTTAAAAATGAGCATTTTCTTTCCTTTCAACTCAACAGTACAGGCAAAGGAAAAGCAGCCACTGAACTTCGGATTGAAACAATAAATGAGCATAGACTGCTAGTCCTTGGCAAGACCAGTTACTCTGAAGGACACATGTTAACATTAGCAAGCTGTACTTCCTGCAATGCACTGCTACCTCACTTTTCCCTGTTTCACAAATGCTAGCCATGAATGTCTTTGACATGAGGCTGCTTCTGATATCAATCGATAACAAGAATGAGCTTTGAAATGACCCAAACACTACCTTCTTCTCTAGGACTGCTGAGGAGGAAGTTGCACCTTTCCATACTTTCTGGTGTGTTTTCATCCATTTATTTATTCGCTCTTTTCCAGCTTCATCTGGATGCAGATATTTGGCTTCAAACTGCTTAAATCAGCCATGCTTTACACTTGTGTTCCTAAATCCTTGCCTTTCCATATTTAATACCTGAACACAACAATTCTGTTTGGACATAGGAAAAGACAGAATTACATAAAGCAGTACTGTAGAAAACAGGCTAGAAATCCTTTTGAACACAATAGAACTTTTTGAATGAGTAAAAAGTAAGACTTCTATTTCCAGGCGTTTCTTCTTTTTTTAAAAATAGCCCACCATTCAAAGGTTTGTTAGTTGTGGCAGACCAATGAGACAATATTGTTTTCCTGTGGAGGCATCAAGAGATACTGGCTCCTCAAAGACACCAATGCTATTTATCGAATGCACTAAATAAACAGTGATGGAAGCATGCTCATGGTGGAGAAATTTGGAGGGGCTGCTGTGTACAGCAGAATGCTAATTGTTACTACAGGTATTTTTAAAATACGATTCAAAGGCAGTTTATTAAAATCAACAAGATTCCACACTTACAAACAGGCTAACCCAACCTCCTTCTTGTTAAATTTCAAATGGCTTTTGAGAACTCCAGAAGGGACAGCATTTTGCTAAATGTGAAAAATGAACCAAAACTCACAAAAAGGATATATTCTATCTCATAGATTCATGAATGCAGATGGGGGTGAGGGGAAATAGATTGCATATGTATGTATGTATGTATGTATGTATGTATGTATGTATGTATGTATGTATGTATGTATGTATGTATGCATGCATGCATGCATGCATGCATGCATGCATGCATGCATGCATGCATGTATATGTATGTGTCACAGCGGTGATTTACACTTTTCTGCTAAGGGGGAGATGTTGCTCTCAGCATTTAGGGAAAAATTATTAAACAGAGTTGCCCTGAAGACTGAGGAATCTGACCATGCATTCTGTGCTGGAACTTGTTACAACTTTCTGTGGATTTCATATACTGTATTCCTGAACAGATGGACTCTTCTTCTGACAGCTATAAAAGTCCAGTTTGGGACCAGATCACATGACCAAAACCTGGCTGAACATGGAAAGCTTAAGGTGAGTGGCAGGTGCCTGCATAACAAAGAGGTTCATCATATATAGTCAGGACAACTGCCGATGCCTTGTTATATGCATAAAAACAATCTGCTTGCTGTGCATCCAAATAATTGGACGATGAGCTTGTTAAATAGCCAGTTGTATGCTGAAGTTGTCCATGTGCAAGCTGGGTTTTTGGTCATGTGGCTGGAGCTTTAGCAGAAGAAGAACCCTCTTTTTCTTTAAGGGACTCTTCATTTTTTTTAAACTTAATAATCACTTATTTAATACTAAATGAACCAAGTCAATTATCAGTTTTATGAGTGTATAAACCTCGAGTTCAAGGTGGTCTCTGTGATAAACTTGGAAGAGACTGCTTAATCCCCAAGCAATGTATTTAACACACAGTGGTAAGAATAAGGAATGTCAGGAAAAAACAAAAAACCCACCATGCAAAGAGGCATCATCACATGGAAACTAAAATGACAAAAAGACAGGGACTTATGCCTGAAGTAATAAATTTAAAAAGCTACTGTACTTATGAGGGAAATGTTGTTTGTTGAACTAACGGGCTTCAAAACGAGATGTTCAAGAAAACGGCACAGGAGTGCCAAAATTCATTCTGAGTATACTGAGCATTAACTTCTCATCTGTTGGCAAGGCACAGGCCAGACCCAGATGAAAGATGAGCCCTGAGGGTGCTGCATGTGGACAAGAAAATAAAAGAACTAAAATGGTGGAATGGGTCTGGCTGAAGAGGAAGAGAGGAACGAGAAGAGATCTCATAGGGTGTTGATATTGGAAACAAAAGCAAACACATTGAGAGAATTCCATGCTTGAAACAAAAGCAGTGACAATTAAAATGGTTTAAGTCATCCAAGACTCTCACATGGAACTACAATTTCAGCTTCTTATACACAGACCCTTATCCCATACACATGCAAGCGCACACACACTGTAATCTATATTTTGTATGTGTGTGCCACATGTACAGTTAGCATATGGGCACAACTATGTGCAAGTCATTAGAATCCAAAGTCTCACATTCATATTACCTTTTGTACATGGAACGGGCAATTCCCGATTCAGTGAAGTACTGCCAGATCTGATATACATCTCTCTGTACACATATACACACAAAAACTCTCCTCTCTCCCATAAATAAATTCACTCTGATGCTTCCCACAATCACCAACTAATAGGAAGCAAAGACCTTAAACAACCCACATCTCCCCCCTTCTCACAGCATGCATATGTACAAGGAATATGCTTTTCATGAAAAATAAGTACAAAACTGGTAATGGGGCAAATCAGTTTTAAGAGGGAAACGTGTACACGGTTTACCTGTTTGGCAATGAAGGCCTTCATCAGAAGTCCCACCATGCAAATGTGTGCAGCAAAAGAGGAATGGGGATGTTTTAATTTAAATGACATGATCTCCACAACAGCAGAAGATGGGGCCTCCCAGGCATACCTTTTTCCCACTTTGGATACAGCAGAGCTGTCTCTCCAGATGAGAAAGGGGACAAGCACTAGTGCTTAGGGCCTCCTGTATAACATGCTGAAAGGCCAGGGAAGATGTTAACTCCGGCCCTTTGCCAACTGAAAGTGGCGAAACTGGTAGCCAGCACAGGGAGGGCGTGAGCCTTTCCCACTCCCTGAAGCTTAGTCCCCCTTTCTCCTTTCACTGCCGTCAAGCAGCGTGTCACACATCATGCAGTGCAGTGTTCACACACAACCCTAAATTCTATTGTTCTGTTACGTGTTGACACCGCAGAGGACGAGTCTAAAATGACTTCTTTATTCAACTAATTACATCTTGTCCTCATTTCTAATGGCAGACAAATGGTGGTTAGCGTTAACTATGGCTTATGGAGGTTTGCCAGCTTAAAAGGGGTTCTCATTCTAACCAGCCATATTTAAGCCTAAGCCACATTCATATATCCTATTTTGCATGACATCTTTCCTGCACATGGAACCGCTTAGACTCACCCTTTGAAGGAGATGCAGGTAAACTTGGAAGTCGCTAACTATAGTTTCTGTCTTTCCAAAAAGACTGTTCCAGTGGAATAAATAAACTAGTATTCTAGGTTAAGTTCAAACTGTGCGTTTGATCGCTGCTAGTTCCTAGTCCAATAACCCAGTTAGGATGAAATGGGAAACTGTAGTTAATGAGAGACCTCCTGGTTTGATTCTGTTTCCTAAAGGAGGACAAAAGGAGCTGCATGAGTGAACAAAAGGCTCATTCATCAGTCTTCTAAAGAAGTTAGTGGTACCCTGGAATGAGTGGCTTCTTATCTCGTTTAAATTAAAATGGGAGGGGAGGTGCTGGAATGGGTTTCATTTAAGAGAAAACCCTAGAAAAACTGAACATTATGAACTGGCAGACTCCTTAACCACAGTTGAGGGATGAAATGTATTTGCTCCTGGAAAGGGAGTGACTATGTTAAAAGAATGTAACCCCATCTGCTAAGCATGCTCCGCAAGAAGTTAAGAGTTACACTTGCATTCACTCAAGTAAAATTCCTGTTCTTGTGAAATTATCAGTACATAAAATTGTTATGTTTGGGATTGAAAACAGCTTTAGTACTGTATAAAATTCCCTCAAGTGTTTTTCAGATACTTGATCCCCTTCTGAAATACAAGGTGTAGAATTTTGAACTAAAGAATTTAATAGGAGAGGAGGAAAAGCTACCTAGCATGAGGTTTCAACATCTAATGACAAGAACAGTTTCAAAGTAGGAAGCAGAAAATTTTAGTATTAAATTGGTACAGATGGCTCACATGGCTAAATTTCCACTTTAAATTCTCTTTAAGCACTCCATTTATTTTTGTATTATGTATCTATTTGACTTGAAAACCTGGGATTTTCTGTCATTTTAAGAGGCTTCAATGAAATGAAATTCAGAAACTTTTTTTAAAAAAAATTAACACAAGCAAGATACCAGAATTAGGCTTATAACAAAAAAAATCTGTATGTGGTTTGGTAGTTTGTGCAACCATGACCACAAAATGAACGGCGACTACATAATCACATTTCCACAATACATTCTCTCACCTCTCCACTACTTTTGTACAAAAAAACTCATAAGCTGTATACAATATATAACATTCACAGATCACACATACTGGTGAAATCCTGTTGCTTAGCATAAATTGCACTAGAGTAGGCCCACTGAATCAGTGGGGATTTGGTGAGCCAACCCCTCGCTACATTCCAAAATGGGCCTACTCTAGTTGCAACTTACTTTAACATAGGAAACTGCAATTAGAATAGGCCCATTTGATTAAGTAGAACATACAGAGGAGATGACTCACCAAATCTCCACTGATTCCATGGGCCCATTCTAGTGCAAATTACTACACCAAGCAACAGGATTTCGGCCAGTGTTCCCCCAATGCATATTTGTGTGTATGTGTAGAATACGTAACTGTACACAATATACCTAAGTTTTATTTGGAAGTCATAGCGGGAATTCCTTCATGTGGACAGGAGGGGAGAAAATTCCCAGTTAAGACACTGCGGATCCCTACATTAATATTTTTGAAATCTGAGCTTTTAACCTGTAGAACAAACTGGACATGTATATATTTATTTGGGAGAAAAAGTTTACAAACTTGGTACACAAGTTCCCACCTGCTTTAACTGGATTTCTAATGTGATCTATTTACCCTGTAACTAAAAACATCTGACCATCATAGACACAAACCACAGATTCCATTACTGAAAAAAAGAAAAAGGAAGAATAAAAACCACACAAGAATCCTCAGAGGGATATACAGATTTTTTTTTAAAAAGGGATTTAACATTTTGCCTGTACAAGATACTATTTTCTCTTTAACTGTATTATACTTTTATTCATATATTTATATCTGCAACATAGCAAAGAATAACTGTACACCTCAACATGGCAAATATCCAGTGTAAAAAGGTGCTTCATGGGGTGGGAAGGGGTGCCTTTTTTAAAAAGTGTATAATTTTATAGCTATTAAAACATATATGCAACATAATTTATTCCACACAATAGTTTTTAGTATAAAATGTATAATTTATGAGGTGATGTTAATAGCATAAATTAATATACGTTTTCTTTTAAAAATCTACAATAAGTATTCTGAACGCTTATGGTACAGGCAGGGCAGAAGGGCGGGGGGAAGAGTTTGTTTAAATAAAAGCTTAAAGCTGACCATGATGGAGAAAAAAGATCCTGGGCTTGAAGCATGTCTGCACGAGAATGGCCCCTAAGCCTGCATGTGCCAAAATCAACACAGCATTCTCTTTCTGGTGCTTATGCTCTGATGACATTCTATGTACTGAAAAATGACTTGTTTAAAACTACTTCAACTGCCTTTATTTCAACAAGGAATCCCTGAGATATGGCCAAAATTGGGCAATGACCATCACCACCATTTGAAGAAACAAGTTCCAGTCAACCCTGTTTCCTCAATGGCTACAGACACTTCATAGTAGTATAATCCAGCTGCCTCTCTTTTCAGACTGGATCCACATACTAGCTTTGCTTCCGTCTTTTGCAATGCAGGTTACAAAAGTCATTTCATGGTAAATCAGCTTACTCCATAATGGAACCAATAAGTGGCACTGTATTTTTGAGGGGCGGGGACAGATTTGGAAGCATTACCTAAAAAATTAATAAACGTAGGGCACAAGAGGCTGAAAATACATGAGTAGGTGAAGTTCAATGCATTAATCCAATTCCTGCATTTATAGCATGTTTGTGTATGCATGCATGCTGTGAGGATTTACAGAGGAGGTTCACTGAATTATTTTCTCATTTTCCTTTTTCAGCCCTGAGTTTTATCTCTCTAGCGCTTTCACATTCCAGGAAAAAAAGAAATGTTTCTAGTTCATCATCTTAGGCTCTTTAGACAGAAAAAGAGAAAGATAAAAACTTTCCTAATGCTGCCCTCCAGTGGCAATGCAAAGCAGACGCCTTTCGTTCGCATTTTAACCACACTGCTAATTTGGAAACAACTGGAAGGTGAAGACATATACAACCAAAACAACAGCAGTAGCAACAACAACAAGGTGGGGGAAAACGCACTCAGAATCTATCCAGAAGATCAATTTCCAATAGGAATTATGAAACCAGCTATTCATTTTTCACTTGCAAACCTGGACACCAATGGCAAGAACCACTAATCCTATCTTGTTTTAGTTTCTTCTGCTTCCATATATAAAGAATGACCTTATGCAACAGTATGTGTGCTAAATACTACTCTTTGCATTTGCTTATGCGACAGGAAGTTTATTGTGAACTAACAATTATGGAATAAAATATTGGGACTCTCACATCAGCATCATACTTCAAAGGAGACAGTATTTTCAAGCTATTTTATTGAACATACTAAAAGAATACAAAGTTTGCCCCCGCTTCCCCCCCCCGGGCCATTTCTACTTTACAAGAAAAATGTCTTTTAGTGGATATTAATCTCTCACATCACCTTAATCACATTGGAAAACGTCATGTTCTGCCTTTTTGTAACTTGTAACTGAACATTATCACAACTCCTTAACAGGAAAAAAAATCACAATAAGAAACATGAAATAAAAGAAAAACTGCAAATCAAATTACCCACGATGACTCTGAAAACGCAGCCTATATTATGACATTAAAAACCTAAATCCTGGTTGGAATTCATTTGTAGCTCCCCAGTGTGGCTTTCTTCTTATAAAAAAGAATGTTTTAGAAGGTTACTAGTAATAGTATTGACAGTAAAAGCACCAGCAAGAACACAACAGGCATACGTCTACAGGATACGTTTTAATAAAACAATGACCTTTCCATAAGGAAACTGAGATTAAAATGGGGATTTTCCCCCTTCTCCAAACTTGCATGTAGGCTAAACCATAACTAGCTCCTGCCTGAATGTATACGGGTATGTAACCTTTTACACTTTCACCTGCATACCAATACCAAGCCAAAAACATGTTTTGTTTTGTTTTGCAAGGGGTGGGCGAGTGAAGAGGGTCTGGGGGTCTCTTCCAACCTATTCTTCATCATCCCTTGGATATCTGCGGGTCCCACTTGCCCCTTCTGTTGAAACTGGATGTAAATTGAAGGTCACTTCCAGTTATTTTATCCCCTCCTCCCCCAAAGGTTGCAGGCCCCAGAACAGGGTCAGAAGAGGCAGTCACGGCCCCTGGAGGCTTCAGGAGGTATGGCTCTCCAATTTTTAGCTATTTTTTTTCAGCCATGGGAGAAATTCTGGGGCTGCATGCAGCTCGTGGCTTACACAATACCAAGCCCTGCTTTGATGTAAGAGGCAAAAGGCTAGCCTACCGTGGGCTTATGCAGTGCTCCACAATCCTCCCCTGGTGTGACTCCGGAGAGGTATCTGCATGCTTTAAGTTCCACTGTTTCTTAACCATGGCTTGCTGTATCTCCCCAACCCCAGAAATCATGATTAATCTTTGGCTGGTCGAGACAGGCCTTCTTCAGGCAGCATAGTTTGCTGCTGCCTTGAGACATGCCAGTTAACATGGGTTAGTTTGTCAGATGGCGCAACAAGCAGTGGCTAACCAAAAACAAAACCAGAAGGTTCTTACATTTCCTCTTACAACTGGGCCTAAAGAAAGGATGGCAACGCACAAGCTGGGGGAAAGCTGGGAGAGGCAAGGCTTGGTGTGTTTTTGTGTGTGTGTGTCATGATAACCAAGTGCAGCACCTGTGTCACTTGCATAAAAGCAAGATCCTTTGGGTCAAGTTACACCACACAAGCCTTTGAGCTGAATGTGAACAAAAACGTGTAGGTTTGTTTCTTAAAGCTAAGTTGTGAACCATAATTGAGAAATAGCAGAAAGGTCTACAAGGGGCTTTGGGTTCCCTTATTGGCGGAAAGGCTGTCTAGAAATAAATACTCATTCATTCATTCATTAAAAAACCCATTGATAACTTGCCTGTTTTCCCTTTTAGCAGAATCACTTCATGGAATGCTGCCCTCCAGGGTGCCCTCGCCTCCAGGAGATGCTTTTTCATAGTTCAGAGAAGCATGCAATGCAAAGGGGGGGAGGTTGAAAAGGCTTTGGGTGAGCAGGCTTTAGCTTCTTGCCACTCAGTTGGGTTTTCGCTTAAATAGTGTCAAGTGGCACAAACTATATTAATGACAAGGGAGAGTTTGTGAATTTTCAAGGCAAGTCACCTTGCAGTGAGAGCCAGTTGCCTTCGGCTACCACCCAGCTAGTTTTACTCGGCACGGAACAACAACCGGCAAGTGGTTCCCACCATTTTGTGGATGGTCCATTGCGAGCTGTAACACACAAGTCATGCAAGGAAGGATGAAAGACACCTCGTAAGATAGTGAAAGAGGCCTGCCTGATTGCTGTTCCTGCTGGATAAATCCAGTAAGATACTGACCATTACTCTTTCAAATTTTGTGCAAAGAAGAGACAGGCAGGAACAAGGTAAAAATCTAATTTAAGCAGAAAGGATTTTTTTGGGGGTGGGAGGAAGGATGATGCCCGGCTGGTGGAACCTGATTTCACAATGCACTACAAACAGAGAAAAGAAGATATAAGGAGCTTAGCTTCAGCTCAGTATGTGGCATAAAACATCTACATTACAAATATAATTATTCTCACACTTAGATGTTTATTATACACTCTGCAAGTTGGTAGGGGAAGATTTCACAAGCACAAAAATGGTTTCCAGCTACATAGGTCTTTTCAAGGGCAAACTCTTACTCCCTGATCCTTTCAAAATAATATGCAGCACGCCTTCTTAAGAGAAGGCAGTATTTCTAATTAATAGGATAGCAACAGGCAATTCCTGGAGCCTCTCTGCTCAATATGTTTATAAGCAGAGGGACCTGTGTCAGATTTTTCACATAAGCACCATTGTAAGTAGAGTATAAAAGCTATGGTAGAATACAACTGCTTCAGTCCGAAAGAAGAATCTGAACTCTCTCTTGTTCCCAATTGCAACCTAATTAAGATCATTTACTAGTGTGTGCCTTTTCTTCATATCTTTCTAATATATAATCAGACAACAATATGTATGGTTCAAACCTGTTGCCATAAGATGTAATAAAGCCTGGTTGTACAAGTAGACCATTCTTTCTATATCCACAGCAGAAAAGACAAATAGCAAGGACTGTTTCCTTCAAGGGAAACTCAACCTCCTGAGAAAACTTTCATTTTTTGTAGCCCCAAACACCAAACACCTATTGGTGGGCAATAAGTAGGAGGTGCAATCTTAACTGTTTGTTTCATAAATAACATTTTATCAAAGAGTAGCCCTCATGCTAGCAAACTCCATAAATTGGATTGTTCCAATTCTGCAGGAAACATAGCCTCCGACTGTGCATTCTTTGAAGCTTATTTATCAGCAGGAGCAGTTAGTGGCAAGAGACAGAAAATGCCTATCTTTAATATTCCACTGTGTTAAATTTGCTAAGCTTATCCATTCTTCTACATACCTGACTTCCCATAAAAGAGTTTTAACAAAACCTAAATATCTCTGAATAAATAGTAAAGGAGCACCAGAAGTACTCACTATTTCTGGAATGATCTTCAAAAACACCCAATACTCATAAATGGCTACAACTCTCTGTGAAACTGTTATCTCTTTTAATTTGGATGAAAAAAGGGGTCCACAACACTTCCACCAGTTTTGAATAAAAATTTGATTCCACACAATCTGTGACAATACTCCATTGGAAAAAGTGAGTTCACCAACAGTACTGCAGCAATTAATCAGTTTTAGGGATTAGCACAATTATTTTTTCTGAGCAAGTACCTCATTATAACTTCTTTTTTTTAGTAACTAGAGCTTTTGAAACAATCACCCTGGGTACTCCGAGCCAACCACTACCATCTGACTTGGTTCCATTAATTCAATTTTCCTTCTACTGAATAAATTCAATTTCAGAAAACAAATTTGTTTGCAGTCACTGGTTTTCAAACAGTTTTTTTCTCAACAGGAAAAAAGACAAGTGTAAGTTATCCATCAAGTACATACGCGCAACCACACACACACACAAACACACCCATACAGTCACAGAAGAGGTCAAGAGCCTACTGTCAAGCTGACAGAATGAACAACTGAACGATGGTCTTGGCTTAATTCTACAGTGCCCAATTACCAAATCAAAAAGATTGATTTCCCTTTCATCCCACTTGCATCTTTAAAAAGTAGCAACTGCTCACCTCATCCCCAGACGCTAATGGGGCTAAAAGTTTGATCTGAAACGTAGGAACTTGCATTAGTTTTAGTTGAGGTATCTTCTCATTTCTGAATCTAAGGTCAATGACATCTGTCCCCTCATTTCTCAGTCTAAGGTCAGTGACATCCATTGAATTTCTTAAACGGGGTATTAACTGGGTACATACAACAAACCTGCCTGGAGTAAATGAGCACCAATACATAAACAGCATACAAAAAATAATTAGACCAGAGCTTAGCGACAGGAAAACTCTGGCCTGCACTGAATGTGGACTTTTTGCCCCCTCTTTTTCTTAAAATTTTAAATTTAAAAATAGTCTTTAAAAAGAAGGGAATGGCCAAGGGGAAAAAAAACCAGGAAGAGAAAAGACTAGGGATGGGGTGGAGGGGAACACAGAGACAACCCCCCCCCTCCAACTGCCTGAAGTTCAGACAGACAGACAGAAGCTCAGCTGGAGGTGGTGAAGGGAGCAGATGCATTATTGGTACTGGTAGCTGTGGCACCTGTTACGGCAAAGCCAGTTGGAGGGGCTATGGAGCTATGGCTGGGCTGCAGGTCCTTGGGAATGCCACTGTGGGAGCTCAGTTGGTGGCCAAAGGCAGCACTGAACTGTGGGAGCTGTTGCTTGGGAGAAGTGGAGGCCGTGAGTTCAGAAGAGGCAGCACCCATACCACTGAAACTAGTCTGCGGTAACCCCGGAAGCGCACTGGAGCTGTTGGGGGTCACGGTGGCAAAGGCAGGCTGGGTGGTCTCTGAGTGCGATGTGGTAGGTGGCGTGGACAGGGAGGTGGAAAGGAGGTGTCCATCTGCCCCAAGCAGGTTGCTGAATGGAGAAGGGTCACCGAGGCTAACGGGGAGGTTCCCCCAGGGAGGCCTGGGGTTTACCACCCCACTGAGCGGCACCTCCAGCTGTGACGGGAGCAAATGCTGTGCTATGATGGGCATCTCCGTGGAGAACGTAGCTGCCAAGTTATCACCAGAATAGGAGGTGGCATGAGGGGATGTTATATGGTCACTGTAGGGAGACGGCACATGCTCACTGTCATAATGGCTTCCGTGGGGTGAGGAGTGTGAATGGTCACTGCTGTATTGCTGTCGTGAGGTGATTAGGTCATCTGCCTTGCTTAGCAGCTGGGCAGGGTGTGGCCTCTGGGAGGCATGGCTGCCATCGTGAAGTCCTTGAAACGGTCCTGGGAAGGCTCTCTCCCCAAGCCCACTCTGGCTTATCAGAGCGGCAGAAGTAAGGCCAACGTTGGCTGGGGCAGAGAATTGCCCCTGAATCTGCCCTGCCAGGGGCGTAGGTGGGTTGGATAAGGTGGCAGAACGAAGCAAGCTCTCGTCCAGGTCCAGGCTGGAGAAATTGTCGTCATGGACTATACGCCCGTTCAGCAGCTCGCCTAGGTCTGCGTTGACTTCTCGGCTCAAGGATTGAATTCCTGAAGTTTCAGCACCTGTGGAGAACACCCCTATCCCTCGGTCCGAGAGCTCCTGAACTGGCACACCATCCGTCTGTGTGAGCACTCCCATGGTGCTCAGGCACTCCAGAGAAGTCACCGCCTGCAGAGCCCGTTCCAGCTCCTCAGCCTCTTCGGTCGTAGGGAGGAGGTCTCCATTTTTACCTGCATTAAACACGTTTTTGAAAAAGACAAAATATTAATTAGCAATCCTGCTCTGTATGTGTTTCGACATAATGGACTTACCAGGTAAGCTGTTAAAGAGGAAGGCACCCATTCCAAGAACCGATGCAACTTTTCTTTTTCAGGCAAAAAGCAAGGGCTGCAGGACAGAGCACTGCAGCACAGAGTAAAAGTTCTCTGCTGCCCCAGGTATGAATTAGGGTTTGGTCCCTTGTGCCTGCCATGAAGTTACAGTTCATGGAATAATTTGATCAGTATGTCTACAAGGTTTCTAATACCTGGAAGACAAGCATGGGTTGGCAAAGAAAGAAAGAAAGAAAGAAAGAAAGAAAGAAAGAAAGAAAGAAAGAAAGAAAGAAAGAAAGAAAGAAAGAAAGAAAGAAAGAAAGAAAGAAAGA